TCTCCGGCGGGCCGGGGCTCAAGGTCAGAGCGCTTGTAGCCGGTGGGTTTGCCGGGGCCCTTCGGCATCCAGCGAGGGCTGGTATGCGCGGGGACAAGGAGGGTGCTGCCTCAGCAGGCTTCTGCTCCTGTGCCCTCTCTAGAGCCCCAGGCCTGGCACTTGGGCACCGTCGGGTGGTTGCTGAGCAGGGCATGGCTGCACGCAGCTGGTTATCTCAAGCAGGGGAGGAAAGCTAGCTGGCCGTATCTTGGGACCTGATCACAGTGCAGTCTAGCTACCCCTCCTGAGTCAGCCTGATCACTTTACAAAGAGCCTGTGATCCAGGAGCGTGCGTAGCAGGCTGAGGACTTCTTGCAGGGTTCTCTTCACTGGGCCTTAACCAAGCCGAACTGGGGACCTCTTCACAGCTCTGCATCTGATAGCTGACGGAAGTAAAACTGAGCTTCCCCTGAAACAAGCTACCTTTAGCGTATGTTACAGTGCTGGTGTTGACTTCTGTTCATAGCGTGATATAACTGCTAAGTCTCCGCTGCCTTTCAGAAGAGTCGGGTGTTTGCTTTTTTCTGTTATGATGCTTGGTTTTCATCAGCTTGCCAAAGGGTGCCTGGCAGGTGGCAACGAGAACCTCTTAGTCCCACTGAAACTAGCTCTTGTAGAGATGCTTTGAAAGCAGCTGGTTTTATTTCGCAGACATCATGAGAATATAGTTAAACATGTTGCAGCAATGCCTGTGTTCATCGGGGTGCTGCTTGTCAGAAGGTGTTGCTACCTCAGTTCCTTGAATGTTTCGGGCTGCTTTGATGGGTTAAAGGTGAAGTTACTGTAGCTGTCAGTCTTCAGTGGCACGGGAGAAGGGTAGGGAATTCCTGCACGTTCCTCCAGTGACACAACCCAGATACGAAAAAGCTGCTCGCCTGTTAGGGTAGGTGATCTGTTCTGAGAGAATATTGTAGCATGAGGTCTGGCCTTGAACAGTTACTGGGACAAGATTTCCTCCCTTAGTTCTTCCATGGAAACGCCAGTGTCATGTCAGAGGTTCTTTTACTCTGCAGGCTGCTGTGAAGCTCTCTTGTAGATCACTTCAAAATGGAGTGAACTCGGGGGGGAAAAAAAATCAGCCTTCTCTGTATTGTGAACCCTGATTCCAGCGTGTGCCCCTGGGAGGGGGTGTGTTCCTGAAATAGTCACTTGAGGGGGAGGGAATGGCTGGCTCTGAGTAGCCTGGCAAGTGCTTGCTTGATTCTGAAGGGCTTCAGTGCTTGTGCTCTGTCCTGAATAAAGAAGCTGGGTGTTCTTGTGATCCTCCTTCTCAGGGGGCTTGGTTTTCTAAACACAGCTTCAGGTTTCAATTACGTGTTGAAATACTATCTGGCTTCCAAAACAACCTGCAAATTAATTGCTTCTCTTTGTTACAGACAAACCTCCCAATCTTCAAATTGAAGGAGTCGTGTGTGAGGAGACGATACAGCGACTTTGAATGGCTGAAGAATGAGCTGGAACGAGACAGTAAGGTGAGGCCTGGCTCAGACCTGCCTGTTCCTGAAACCAGGACATATGGGAACAGTTGTAGGGATAATCTTGAGCTGCCCAGAAGAGAGGCTGTGGTGGTGGGCAGCTGTTGGGGCTTGATCTCTATCCACGTAATGGGGCTGTGTGTCTTGCAGCTGGCCGTTGTGCTGACAGGGTGATTCTGTGCTTTCAGATTGTAGTGCCACCGCTGCCTGGAAAAGCTTTGAAACGACAGCTTCCCTTTCGAGGAGACGAAGGCATCTTTGAGGAGTCCTTCATTGAGGAGCGGAGACAGGGACTAGAACAGTTTATTAACAAGTAAGCTTGATGTCCTGGTTTACTGTCTGCTGCCGTTCCGGCTACTGCTGGTAGAAGAGGGCTGTGGGTTGACTGGGAAGGAGTCTTGATCTGCTGCACACAGGTGCTGTGCTAAAGGATGGTGCCTGCAGCTGGTAATGAAACCACGGTTCTGCAGCAAATCCTGCCTTGAGTGCGGGTTGTGTTCAGCGCTTTCTGAGAGTGAAGTAAATATTAGCAGAATAGCTGTGCTGCAGAGACCCACCGACAGGGTAGCGTTGATTCAGGATGCTCAAGCCCTGCTGCAGGGCATGGTGTGGGAGGGAACACCCTGTGCTCAAGCACCTCTTGCTGGCCCTGTTGCACACCAATCCAGTGACCTTGGCCTGAGGCCGGTGCGGGTGTGCTTGGAGCTGGCTGCCCGTTAGCGAGGAGGTCTGCTTTACTCACTCCCTCAGAGGGCGGAGGTGTGGGGGTCTCAGTGGCAGCTGTGCTAACCTCCGCATCTGATTTTCTTCCAGAATTGCTGGACACCCACTGGCACAGAACGAGCGCTGCTTACATATGTTCCTGCAAGAGGAGACTATTGATAGGAATTACGTCCCAGGGAAAGTGCGCCAGTAGGAGCACCTGGCACTGTCTTCCTCCATTCCACCCTCCCTCCTGCAAAAATGACATTTATTTTTACACTAAATCTGTCTTCTCTGAACCAGCTTTTCCTCTCTTGAACCTCCCAGTTTGTTCAGTATTTTCCTCTTTTGTAACTGGCAGCAGCTTGTTCTACTGGGCTGTGGTCTTGCCCTAAAGGTATGAAGATTTATGCAAGTGAGCGTGTTGTCCCACACCTAGGGGCAGATGTGAGTAGGTGTGGAGCAGGAACTTGCTTATGGCATTATGGTGTAGGAGCTGCCTCTCTCCCTGTACAGGAAGGTATGAGATGACCTTCACTCCCCTGTCTGTGCAGCCCCAAGCATCTCTGCAGGAGACTCTGAAGAATAGCAGTTGTCATGTTGGTCAGTGATCGCATCAGGTATTAGAGTTTTAGTAAGGCTTATCCAAAACAGTGAGTAGGTGCCTGGGTGTGTTGGTCTCTCGTCCACCCCATTCACCCTGCATGAAACCCCCATTCTTCACTGTCTGGAAATGCTGAGACCCAAGACGTACTCTAACCCTGCTCTCAGCCTCCTGCATTACAGACCCGTTTGGTGTATTCGTGTTAATCCCCCTCCTTTCTAACGTGCTGCTGGCAGCTCGAGGGGTTTCCATGACGTGTGCTCTCATGATGCTCTGCGTGGGCAGTTTGGCGTGTGGAAGCTGGGATAGCCTGGGCTGTAGCAGTGTGTGCTGTGATGCCTTGGCCCAGGGTTTAAAACATGCCAGAGCTTGCTCTGCCGCAGGCTGGTGTGGTGGTGTTTCCAGCAGCGCCCTGCTCAGCTGAGCCGTGGTGACCTTATCCTGCACCCCAGCTGCAGAGGGGAGGAGACGGGTATGGCTGAGGAGGAGCAGGAGAGGGCTGGTGGGGGCTGTTGTAGCGTGCGGCCACGATGGTTGCCACAGGAGGAGCCCAGCAGCGGGGCCTGGGGTGAGGCCACCTCTCCAGAAAGGGACGACAGAAAACGGTCGGTCAGTCCTGGGCTAAACATTTGCTTACGAAGCAGGAGAAGTAACAGTGGCTTTTCGTGTGTTCTCCCCTGTTCTGCAGTGAGCTAGGCAGTTACTTGTGTGGAAGCGAGGACACAAGACTGGTCAGGGAAGCATTCAGAGCTTGAGGGGGACCACGAGGCTGTGCCTTGCTGCAGCAACACTGTCCTTTGGAGGCTCCTCCAGCTGCCACGGCTGCAATGAGCGAGGTTGGGCCTCAGCTCGGGGGCTCCTCAGGTCAAGGCTGGCTGGTTTATGAGCGCTTGGTCACTTTGTGGTGGCACAGTTGAGCCTTTCTTGGAGCATAGGCCTGCAGTGACTGCCCTCCCATTCCTGCCAAGCATGTCCCCCGAGGCCTCCCTCACGTCTCCTGGGTTTTCTGTTGAGGAACGGGTGCTGCTGGGCGGGAGGTGGCTCTCGGCGAGGAGAAGAAGTCGCTGAAACCGGGAGGGAACTGCTCTGGGGGCCGGCTTGGCCCGGGAAGGGCTGTGGGGCAGGGTGGAAGCTGGTGCCCGAGGAGGCGGCGGTGCCCGCAGCGGGGCTCGGCCCCCATCC